GGGCATCTGCTTTTTTTTGATTCTAACTTAATAATGGCTGAATCTATAATTAATTCCAATCTAATTTGAATAACTTAACCAAAGTTTTTGTATACCAATTTTAGAAAATATTTTGTATACCAGTTTTGATAAACCAGTAGACCGCAGAATTATTAAACCAGAAACAACAAGTGGGTGAGACAGTGGAACAGTATGCTATCAATATGTTGATCTTGCTTGAACGTATATCAGCTATAAAAATCTAGTATCTAGAAATAATGCAGATTCGAATATTCATGAAAGACCTTTATCTTGAATTATCATTACAAGAAGCTATTAAATAAGCCTAAATGTATAAAACAATATCAATATGAAGATTAGCTGTGTATAGACCCATCTTAACTAACAACATAGTAGCTCCAACACCAATGTACCAAATGACTTGTCTTGCAAATTCTTTAGTAATAATCTCTGCCCTGCAAATACCTCATGTAATACATTCTTTAGGCTCTGCTATATCTCTCGCAATAAGTAGTCTGGTAAAACAAATGATAAAAATACGCTTCTTTAAAGAAAGTTGACCAATGATCGCTGCCACTAAGAATCATGAAGATGGTCATGAATTGAGAAATACACAAGCTTTCTATGGCCTTAAGAATAGTAACCAAAATAGAGTTCGAGTTGAAAAGAATATGCATATAGAACCTGATAGTGACCAAGCTTAAGTACCTGATTCATATAGCCCTTCTTGTTATTATCAAACTAAAATCAGTATTAAAAAGTATAAACTTAAGGCACCTATTAATCATCAAAAATCTGCAAGGATAGATTATACTATTGGAATGAATAATCTTAGTTATAGTTGCTGAAATGAAAAGAGAATTAAAATAGTAGTGATACGAGCCAACCCCAGCCTATCAGCCAGATAGGCAAGCAGACCGAGGGCTGACCTATACCTTTACAAGATGGGTGGACCAACTAAGATAAGCTAATTTTAAATGGTAAATTACTGTGATAATTAATATAAATTGCCAGAACTTTGGCTAAGTTATTCAAATTAGATTGGAATTAATTATAGATTCAGCCATTATTAAGTTAGAATCAAAAAAAAGCAGATGCCC